CGGCCGAGTGGCGCGATGGTTAAGAACTGGCTTGGGACGCCAGAGGGCCCTGGTTCGGATCCCACATATGAGGGCCAGTGACACCGCCCTCCACAGCTAAGATGCTGAACAACAGCTCAACCTGGAGCTGAGCTGCCCTGAGTCGCCGGCGACGGCGTAGGCTGCACTCCCTGTGGCAGTGGGTTGCCATGGGCTACCGTATGTAGCCAGCAGCCAGCGTGAGCGGCCNAACAAAGGCCTACAACCAAGATTGCTCTACCCAGCAAGGCTATCACTTAAAATTGAAGGAAAGATAAACAGCTTCTCAGAACAGAATAAGCTAAAAAAATTCATTACCACCAAACCAGCACTGCAGGAAATGTTAAAGGGCTTTTATAAACAGAAGAAAGGGGAAAACAAGCTAACTAAAGAAGACGAGAAATACAAATAACAAAATGGCAATAAATATGTACCTATCAATAATCACTTTAAATGTGGCTGAGTGGATAAGAAAACAGGACCCAAGCATATGCTGTTTACAAGAGAATCAGATCAAAAGACACAGAAAAACTGAAAGTAAAGGGATGGAATAAGATATTTCACGCAAATGGAAATGAGAAAAAATCTGGAGTAGCAATGCTTATTTTGGACAAAATAGACTTTAAAATGAAGACTACAATAAAAGACAAAGAAAGGCACTACATAATAATAAAGGGATCGATCCAACGAGAGGACATAACCCTAGTAAACATCTATGCACCCAACATAGGAGTTCCTAAATATATAAAACAGTTTTTGACCAACACAAAGTCAGAGATCAACAGTAGTTCTATTGTAGTAGGGGACTTCAACACCCCATTGTCACCAATGGACAGATCCTCCAGACAGAAAATCAACACAGAAACAGTGGCCTTGAATGACACTTTAGACCAGCTGGATTTAATCGATATTTTTAGAGCATTTTACCCAAAGCAACAGAGTATACATTCTTCTCAAGTGCACATGGAACATTTTCCAAGATATACCACATGTTAGGCCACAAAACAAGTCTCAATAAATTTAAGAAGACTGAAATCATATCAAGTGTCTTCTCCGACCACAATGCTATGAAACTAGAAATCAATTATAATAAGAAATCCGGAAAGCATACAAATACATGGAGGCTGAATAACGTGTTACTAAATAGCAAGTGGGTCAAAAATGAGATCAGGGAATATTCAAAAGATACCTCGAGACAAATGAAAATGAAAACACAACAACCCAAAATCTATGGGATGCAACGAAAGCAGTCATAAGAGGGAAATTCATATCAATGCAGGCCTATCTAAAGAAATAAGAACAATCTCCTATCAACAGGCTATCTTTACACCTAAGGGAACTGGAGAAAGAACAGCAAAACAAGCCCAAAGGGAATACAAAAAAGGAAATAACAGAGATCAGAGCAGAATTAAATGAAATAGAGACCAAAAAAACAATAGAAAAGATCAATAAAACCAAGAGCTAGTTTTTTGAAAAGATAGACAAAATCAACAAACCTTTAGCCAGACTCACCGAGAGGACCCAAATTGATAAAATCAGAAATGAAAGAGGAGAAGTGATAACAGATACCACAGATATACAGAAAATTTTAAGAAAACACTACGAGCAACTATATGCCAACAAATTAGACAATCTGGAAGAAATGGATACATTTCTAGAAGCATACAATCTACCAAGTCTGAACCAAGAAGAAGCAGAAATTCTGAAAAGACTGATTACTACCAAAGAAATTGAATCAGTAATCAACAAGCTTCCAACAAACAAAAGTCCTGGACCAGATGGCTTCACAGGTGAATTTTACAAAACATTTAAAAAAGAATTAATACCTATTCTCCTCAAACTATTCCAAAAAATACAGAAGCAGGGAAGGCTCCCAAACACATTTTATGAGACCACTGTTACTCTGATCCCAAAATTAGACAAAGATATTACCAAAAAAAGAAAACTACAATCCAATATCCCCAGTGAACATAGATACAAAAATCCTCAACAAAATACTAGCAAACTGGGTTCATCAACACATTAAAAAGATCATACACCACAATCAAGTGGGGTTCATTCCTGGTATGCAACGTTGGTTCAATATCTGCAAATCAATTAACATAATACATCACATTAACAAAATGAAAAATAAAAATCATATTATCATATCAATAGATGCAGAAAAGCATTTGACAAACTTCAGCAGCCATTTATGATAAAAACTCTTAGCAAGGTGGGAATACAGGGATCATATCTCAACATAATAAAGGACACATATGATAAGCCCACAGCAAACATCATACTCAATGGTGAAAGGCTAAAAGCTTTCCCCTTAAGATCAGGAACAAGACAAGGCTGCCCACTTTCACCACTTCTATTCAACATAGTTCTGGAAGTTCTAGCCACAGCAATCAGACAAGAAAA